TGGCTACTTAGAATTTTCTCATGTGTGGAACTGGAAACTAGAAATATGCTATGCCTTTTTATTGAAATTTTTCATTTGCTTAAGTGACCTTTTAAATTTGTTTCAATCGAGACATACAGTATTTTGTTACRAGATTTTCCTACTTTGGAATTAATCGAAACCAATATGTTATGTTTTGTTCCATTGCACATTGGACCATAAGAATGGATGTTAAAGTACATTTCATCAGGTTAAATTTCTATGCTTTAGATTGGTAGTGAGTTTTTCAAAGTCAGTTCATTTACAATAAGATGCCTTTTTTGACATTATATATATATATATATATATATATTTGAAAATTTTACTGTGGTTGTATGATTTAGAAAAACTTCTTGATGGGATAGTCTTTTACTTCTTAAATATTAATATCTTCTTAAAGATTTATAGTTTGGTATAGTAGAATAAAATTTATATAATTTATAAAATTTATATGATTTTATATAAATGTTACAGTGCTTTTGTTTTAAGATTATTTTGTCGCAGGGCTCCGGACGCGCCGGCGGCGGCCGACACTCTGGGCTGCGGCGCCGCCCGCCCGCCCCTGCGCAGAGTCCGACCTCAGCGCGTCGCCTGCACACGCCCCCGCCATGGGCCCCGGAGGCTAGCTGTCCCCATTCCCAGGGTTTCTCTTAGAGAGCCTCCTGCTGGTGGGCACCATGACAGTAAGGGGGGCTGCACTGGCCCCAGGTCCAGTGTTGCCTACAACTGCAGCAGCTTCACCCAGCGTCTCTGTGACCCCCGAGGGGAGCCCCACAGCCATGGAACAGCCTGTGTTCCTGATGACCACTGCTGCTCAGGCCATCTCTGGCTTCTTCGTTTGGACAGCCCTGCTCATCACCTGCCACCAGATCTACATGCACCTGCGCTGCTACAGCCGCCCCAACAAGCAGCGCTACATCTTGCGCATCCTCTTCATCGTCCCCATCTATGCCTTCGACTCCTGGCTCAGCCTCCTGTTCTTCACCAACGACCAGTACTATGTGTACTTCGGCACCATTCGTGACTGCTATGAGGCCTTGGTCATCTGTAACTTCCTGAGCCTGTGCTATGAATACCTCGGGGGAGAGAGCTCCATCATGGCGGAGATCCGAGGGAAGCCCATTGAGTCCAGCTGTATGTATGGCACTTGCTGCCTCTGGGGAAAGACCTACTCCATTGGATTCCTGCGGTTCTGTAAACAGGCCACGCTGCAGTTCTGCGTGGTGAAGCCGCTGATGGCCGTCAGCACCGTCATCCTCCAGGCCTTCGGCAAGTACCGGGACGGGGACTTCGAGTAAGCAGTGGGTCGTCCCTCCGGGTGTGTGGGAGGAAGGCCAGTGCCCTGGTATAGCAGGGTGGCTGTGCCCTTCCTGGGTTTCCAGGGCTGCTCTGAGCCCAGGCCTGGCAGTGCCCCCCTTGAACTTGGCCTGACGCTGGCCGAGGAGTGAGCCTGCCACTCAGTTATGTCCTCGCAGGCTGCATGGCTTCCCTAGGCGGAGCTGCGAAGGCCAGTGAGCACTCTGAAGGTGGGGGAGAGGGGAAGAGCCTGAGGGACCAGCTCGAGCCCCAGGTTTCATGTGGGGCAGTGAAGGTGGCCCTGTGCTCGCCAGGCTTCACACATACAGCCCCACCCAGGCAGGTGAGCGAACTGGGCTCAGAGCTGTACCCTGGTCACACAGCAAGCTTGGGGTCAACCACTTGGACACCACTGACTGGCTGTCAGTCTGTAGCCTACAGCCAGACTCTGGTTTTCCTGCCAGTGTGTCCCAGCAGTGGGCCCAGAGCTGGGACAGCACGGCACAGCAGAGGGAGCAGGCCGACCTGCACCGTGGGCGCACAG